AGACAGACAGACAAAAAGAAAGACAGACAGACAGACAGCAGACAAAAGAAAGAAAAACAGGCAGACAAAAAGAAAAGACAACAGGACAGACAAAAAAGAAAGACAGACAGGCAGGACAGACAAGAAAAAGAAAGACAGACAGGCAGAACAAAAAGAAAGACAGACAGGCAGAGGCAAAAAGAAAGACAGACAGACAGACAAAAAGACAAAAAGACAGACAGACAGACAGGCAGACAAAAAGAAAGACAGACAGACAGACAAAAAGACAGACAACAGAAAACAAAAAGAAAGACAGACCAACAGACAGACAGAAAGACAGACAGACAGAAAGACAAAAAGAAAGACAGACAGACAGATAGACAAAAAGAGACAGACAGACAGACAAAAGACAAAAGACAGACAAGACAGACAGAAGACAGATAACAAAAAGAAGAAGACAGACAGACCAGAAAAGAAAAGAACAGACAGACACAGACAAAAAGACAGAAAGACAGACAGACAGACCAGATAGACAAAAAGAAAGAAGACAGACAGACAGATAGACAAAAAGAAAGACAGACAGACAGACAGATAGACAAAAAGAAAGACAGACAGACAGATAGACAAAAAGAAAGAAAGACAGACAGACAGACAAAAAGAAAGAAAGACAGACAGACAGACAAAAAGAAAGACAGACAGACAGACAGACAAAAAGACAAAACAGAAAGACCAGACAGACAGACAGACAAAAAGAAAGAGACAGACAGGCAGACAAAAAGAAAGACAGACAGACAGGCAGACAAAAAGAAAGACAGACAAAAAGAAAGACAAAAAGAAAGACAGACAAATAGAGACAGACAAAGAAAGACAGACAAAAAGAAAGACAGACAAGAACAGACAGACAGGCAGACAAAAAGAAAGAAAGACAGGCAGACAAAAAGAAAGACAGACAGACAGGCAGGCAGACAAAAAGAAAGACAGGCAGACAACACAGAAGACCAGACAGACAAAAAGAAAGAAAGACAGGCAGACAAAAAGAAAGACAGACAGACAGGCAGGCAGACAAAAAGAAAGAAAGACAGGCAGACAAAAAGAAAGACAGACAGACAGACAAAAAGAAAGACAGACAGGCAGACAAAAAGAAGACAGACAGAAAACGACAGACAGACAGACAAAAAGAAAGAGAGACAGACAGACAGACAGACAGACAAAAAGAAAGAGAGACAGATAGACAAAAAGAAAGACAGGCAGGCAGACAAAAAGACAGACAGGCAGGCAGACAAAAAGACAGACAGGCAGGCAGACAAAAAGACAGACAGGCAGGCAGACAAAAAGACAGACAGACAGGCAGACAAGAAAAAAGAAAGACAGCAGACAGGCAGACAGAAAGACAGACAGGCAGACAAAAAGAAAGACAGACAGGCAGACAAAAAGAAAGACAGACAGGCAGACAAAAAGAAAGACAGACAAAAAGAAAGACAGACAGGCAGACAAAAAGAAAGACAGACAGGAAAGACAGACAGGCAGACAAGAAAGACAGAGACAAAAAGAAAGACAGACAGGCAGACAAAAAGAAAGACAGACAGGCAGACAAATAGACAGACAAGACAGACAGACAGACAAAAAGAAAGACAGACAGGCAGACAAAAAGAAAGACAGACAGGCAGACAAAAAGAAAGACAGACAGCAGACAAAAAGAAAGACAGACAGGCAGACAGACAGACAGATAGACAAAAAGAAAGACAGACAGACAGACAGATAGAAGAAAGACAGACAAGACAGACAGACAGACAGACAGACAGACAGAGAAAAAGAAAGACAGACAGACAAAAAGAAAGACAGACAGACAAAAAGAAAGACAGACAGACAGACAGACAGAACAAAAAGAAAGACAGACAGACAGACAGACAAAAAGAAAGACAGACAGACAGACAGACAAAAAGAAAGACAGACAGACAGACAGACAGAAAAGAAAGAGAGCAGACAGACAAGACAAAAAAGAAGAGACAGACAGACAAAAAGAAAGACAGACAGACAGACAGACAAAAAGAAAGAGACAGGCAGACAAAAAAGAAAAGACAAGAAGGACAGGCAGGACAAAAAGAAAAGACAGGGCAGACAAAAAGAAAGAAAGACAGACAGGCAGACAAAAAGAAAGAAAGACAGGACAGACAAAAGAGGAAAGACAAGACAGACAGACAAAAAGAAAGACAGACAGAGACAAAAAGAAAGACAGACAGACAGAGACAGACAGATAGACAAAACAGACAAGACAGAAAGACAGACAGATAGACAAAAAGAAAGAAACAGACAAAAAGAAAGACAGACAGACAGACAGATAGACAAAAAGAAAGACAGACAGACAGATAGACAAAAAGAAAGACAGACAGACAGAAAGACAAAAAGAAAGACAGACAGACAGACAGACAAAAAGAAAGAGACAGACAGACAAACAAAGGCAGACAAAAAGAAAGACAGACAGACAGGCAGACAAAAAGAAAGAGACAGACAGACAGGCAGACAAAAAGAAAGAGACAGACAACAGCAGACAAAAAGAAAAGACAGACAACAGATAGACAAAAAGAAAGACAGACAGACAGATAGACAAAAAGAAAGACAGACAGATAGACAAAAAGAAAGACAGACAGACAGACAAAAAGAAAGACAGACAGATAGACAAAAAGAAAGACAGACAGACAGACAGATAGACAAAAAGAAAGACAGACAGACAGACAAAAAGAAAGACAGACAGATAGACAAAAAGAAAGACAGACAGAGACAGAAAGACAGACAGACAGATAGACAAAAAGAAAGACAGACAGACAGATAGACAAAAAGAAAGACAGACAGACAGACAGACAAAAAGCAAGACAGACAGACAGACAGACAAAAAGCAAGACAGACAGACAGACAAAAAGCAAGACAGACAGACAGACACAAGACAGACAGACAGACAGAACAGACAGACAGACAGACAACAAAAAGCAAGCAGACAGACAGACAAAAGCAAGCAGACAGACAGACAAAAAGCAGACAGACAGACAGCAAAAGCAAGACAACAGAGACAAAAAGCAAGACAGACAGACAAAAAGCAAGACAGACAGACAGACAAAAAGCAAGACAGACAGACAGACAAAAAAGCAAGACAGACAGACAGACAAAAAGCAGACGACAGATAGACAAAAAGAAAGACAGACAGACAGATAGACAAAAAGACACGACAGACAGACAGAACAGACAAAAAGACAGACAGACAGAACCAGACAGACAAAGACAGACAGACAGACAGACAGACAGACAAAAAGACAGACAGACAGACAGACAAAAAGACAGACAGACAGACAAAAAGACAGACAGACAGGCAGACAAAAAGAAAGACAGACAGACAGGCAGACAAAACAGAAACAGACAGACAGACAGACAAAAAGACAGACAGACAGACAGGCAGACAAAAAGACAGACAGACAGACAGACAGACAGACAAAAAGAAACAGACAAAAAGAAAGACAGACAGACAAAAAGAAAAGACAGACAGACAGAACAGACAGACAAGAGAAAGACAGACAGAGACAAAAAGAAAGACAGACAGGCAGACAAAAAGAAAGAGACAGACAGACAGGCAGACAAAAAGAAGAGACAGACAGACAGGCAGACAAAAAGAAAGACAGACAGACAGACAGATAGACAAAAAGAAAAGACAGACAGACAGACAGATAGACAAAAAGAAAGACAGACAGACAGACAGATAGACAAAAAAGAAAGACAGACAGACAGACAGATAGACAAAAAGAAAGACAGACAGACAGAAGACAGACAGACAGACAGATAGACAAAAAAGAAACAGACAGACAGACAGATAGACAAAAAGAAAGACAGACAAGACAGAGACAAAAAGAGACAGACAGACAGACAAAAAGAAAGACAGACAGACAGAGACAAAAAGAAAGACAGAACAGACAGACAGGCAGACAAAAAGAAAGACAGACAGACAGACAGGCAGACAAAAAGAAAGACAGACAGACAGACAGATAGACAAAAAGAAAGACAGACAGACAGGCAGGCAGACAAAAAGAAAGAATCATACAGACAAAAAGAAAGAATCCTACAGACAAAAGAAAGAAAGAATCCTACAGACAAAGAAAGAAAGAATCATACAGACAAAAGAAGAAAGAATCTACAGACAAAAGAAAGAAAGAATCTACAGACAAAAGAAAGAAAGAATCAGAACAAAGAAAGAAGAATCACAGACAAAAGAAGAAGAATCATACAGACAAAGAAAAGAATCCTACAGACAAAAGAAAGAAAGAATCACAGACAAAGAAAGAAGAATCAGACAAAGAAAGAAAGAATCAGACAAAAGAAGAAAGAATCACAGACAAAAGAAAGAAAATCATACTCCTACAGAAAAAGAAGAAGAATCAACAGACAAAAGAAAGAATCAGACATCCACAGACAAAGAAAGAAAGAATCATACAGACAAAAGAAAGAATCTACAGACAAAAGAAAGAAAGAATCCTACAGACAAAGAAAGAAAATCCTACAGACAAAGAAAGAAAGAGACAAAAGAAGAAAGAATCATACAGAAAAAGAAGAAAGATCAGACAAAGAAGAAAGAATCATACAGACAAAAAGAAAGAATCTACAGACAAAGAAAGAAAGAATTACAGACAAAAGAAAGAAAGAATCATACAGACAAAAGAGAAAGAAAGAAAGAACAGACAAAAGAAAGAAAGAATCCTACAGACAAAAGAAGAAAGAATACAGCAACAGAACACAGACAAAAGAAAGAAGAATCACAGACAAAAGAAAGAAAGAATCACAGACAAAGAAAGAAAGAATCTACAGACAAAAGAAAGAAAGAATCATACAGACAAAAGAAAGAAAATCATACAGACAAAGAAAGAAAGAATCATAGACAAAAGAAAGAAAGAATCATACAGACAAAAGAAAGAAAGAATCATACAGACAAAAGAAAGACAACATACAGACAGACAGACACGCAGAGACTGATGTATACTTACATCCTTGGCCGAAGATCCTGACACTTCAATCCAGGTCTTGGAGAAGAAAGCGCACGAACCCAGCATGAAGGTGATGTACACAACCGCATGGAAGGGATCCTCCATGATGTGACCAAAGGACTCGGGGGGCGACATATAGTAGCAGAGGCCGCCAATGGGGTAGGAGGCACGCCCTGGGCCTCCAGAGCCTGTGTCTGCCCACACTCCCAGTAGGCCCACAAAGAAGTTACCTGGGAATTTCACTGCCAACATCTGTGGAGGAACAAACTTAGTTGCATGGTTGATAAAAGGAAAAAAAAAAAATCTCTGGTACCACAAATATTTTTCTGCCCCACAAGGAAGATGGTATAACATATCAATATTGTCTACAAATAGTACAGAAATGTGTGTGTGTGTGTTCGTTTTTAACCATTTGTGAATCCCTTGTGGTACAGAGTTTAGTATTACTTTTAATAAACTGCATACTCTAATCTCATTTTCTTTCTGGAAGTCAAAATGCTTCCCGGGACCAATGATCCCGTGGTCCAATACTTTTTCCAGCCCTGATGGTTTTTCCAAGCAGTCTTTTGGTAGGAGATCATTTAAAATGTAAAAACTGAAAACGCTCATCCACATTCACCTTTAAATGAGAATAATCAATCAAACATACTAACACAAAAGCTGAAAATAACAATACTGAATGAAATGAAGGAATGTTAGGAGCAACAAACAGCCAACATACCTGTGCAATGATATAAAGGTTGGAGACGAGCGCAGACTGTAAGATGATGGGGATGTTGGAGGTGTAGAACAGCTTGATGGGGTAAGAAGAGTACTGCCCACGGTAGCGAGCAGACTTGATGGGCAGGTCCACGCGGAAGCCCTGGGAGAGAGAGCAACACGTAGGGGGAAAACAAATTCAAACATTCGTAAAGATAATAAGCACATACTATAAAAAAAAAAAGGTGGGGGGTGGGGGAATATCAATAAATCCAAATAACAGTGGAAAATAGACAAGACCATGGTTTCATTCATGAAGGCCCTTGAAGAAAGGTTAGCATACCTGGAAGTATATTACAATTGCAAAGATGAGAACCGTTGCTAAGAGGTTGGTGAGGTTGGGGAGGTTCTGGCGGTAGAAGGCCTCACGGAGAGCTCGAACCTGGAAGTCAAACAATAGGAACAATTAAAGCATTAAAATGATCAATATAGTTGAAATTTCATTCCTTTGTAAATACCCAATACGCTATGACTGGTAATGGGAAAGAGAAGTTTCAAAGTTAAAATCAGTTGATTTCATAGGCTGAGAAAGGCATGGATTACTACTTGCCACTTCAAACTTTTTTTTTTTTTTTTTTTTAATAAATAATCAAAAATAAAAGAAAGAAAAAGAAAAGGTAAAAGAAAGAAAGAAGGCTGTTGGAATGCAAGTATCTCCAAGCAGACAGCGTGACCGTGTGAGGTGAGTTAGTTACCAATGTTGCTAACAAGCTTCCTGAAACTTTTCTTTGATATGTCCTCTCTTTCATAGAAAAAAAATTTACATCTTCAGTTAAAGGTTGCTTGGTTATCTCACCTTGTATCCGATTTTCGAGTTTTACAAACTCCTTAACTCTTACTTAGATTTACATATTTCCTCAATTTCATTTCTACAAACTTGTGAGCTCACCAACATCTGTAATGCCTCCAGAGGCTGGTCCAGAGAATTTTTTTCGTTTTGCCTTTCTTGGCCACATTTAATCTACTGGGTGTACTTTTACCAAGTGGATGTTGATAAAAAACATTACACATCTATTGACATTATGATAAGTCCATGACCACTGGGGGGGCCCACAGGGTGCCCAATCAGACTGCAGGGAGGGAAGGTGCCCACCAGTGCCACCATGGAAGCCCCACCTCTGAATGGCTCACAGATGTAAATTCAAATAATATTTTGGTAATAGGTTTTGTTTATAAAAAGCAAGATATAATTGTAATAATTAAGTATTCCTACATAATCTACATACTGTTGCACTTTCATATTGAGTGTGTCCACCTTCAACCCTATCATAACGGGGCCTGTATTTTTTTGTAATACAATATTACGCAACCCTCAACTTTATGGCTAGACCTAAGCTGTGTACAGCCGCCCGACCTTTGCGAGTCATGATGCATATACACATCACAAGCCACTACGTCTTGACAGATATTGCTGTATCTGTCACCAAGGGGTTTATTTGGTGCCTTTACTCTCTAGATGAGGTAAACATTTTCATTCTGTTTATAAAGTGAGAGGCCAAGAATGGTGCTGCTGCTTGGAGAGAGTGCCATGATGAAGACTTACCAAGTAATGTACGAATCACACCAAACTATGAAAATACAAGTAGTACAAAGTAATGTTCCTACCACTACTATCAGCAGTAATAGTACCAGTTTTTGGGGGGTCTTTCTTTAAATAATAATGAATGTCAAGCCTTTTATGACTGGCAAAACTTTCAAAACAGTTCAGCAAAGCCAGAACTGAGCACGCACACCACAATCCTGTGAAGGAAAATGGATGAATGATGCAATTCAGGTCAACCACCTGCTGATTTTTTTTTTACCTGATATCAGTTTTCTACTATGAAATGACAGGATGTCACCGAAATCTTTTTCTTTTGGATTTCCTATACATTTTTGTTCACCTTTTCAACTTTTTGTGTGACACAGAGTGGCATTTCACATGCAACTATTTCACTTCATACACCAGCTTGTCTCTTCCCCAAACTGTAAAAAGATTAGTTTTTTATTTCAATGACTAATTTAGGTTGCTGGTATTTCAAGAGCTTGATCTTACACACCAGAAAATGTACATTTCATTATCATGTATCAATTAGTGTCAACAGAGCACAATATTAAGTTCAGTACTTTTTGCAATTCCCTTGAATGCACTCCAGGGTCTTGCTTTGTTTTTTTTCCCCATGAGAACTTAACAATACATATCCAATACAGTATAGAGCATGATGTTCAGACTGTACCGTTCCAGATTTGGCAGTCAAGTTATATGCCAACATAAAGATGTCAATATTAGGGGAGTGCATACATGGTGGGAGCCACCTGTAAATCAGCTTAGCTCCTTTTTCTCTGGCTTAATTTTTTTCCATCAACATCAATTTTCTATCAAAACCGTCCCCTCCTATTTAACATCTCAAATCCATGTGGCAGTTAACTGGATCTCCAACAGCCAAGCACCAAGAGGATATAATGCAGACAGGGAAGAAGGGGACAAACAAGCCTTTCATCTAGATCAGGTGGAAGGGGGTTAATGAACACCAACAGGCATTAATAATATCCCGGGGCCATTATTGCCTGAGTAGAATGAATGGATAATGCTTAAAAACTTTGAAGATTCATGGAAGCAAGTTGGTCACAAAAGCCTCTGAAAAAGCTCAAGTCTTACCTTGTCTTGTCTTGTAGCGAGAAGGTGGAAAAGAGCAATGACCGCACCCTCAAACTCTGTGCCACGACCAGTGTTGACAGTGGCAGGTGAGAAGGCCTTCCACACAATGGTCTCACAGATGTTGGTGGCAATGAAGAGGGAGATACCAGAGCCAAGTCCATAGCCCTGAAATGTACATAAGCAGATTATTTCACCCATCTGCAACCAACCAACCATATAACACATGTTGCTCCATTTGTAAATACCCTTTCAAAATTTCAAGTTCTCTAAATAAGTCTCAAAGCTTCCTCACCTTCTGTAGGAGTTCATCAAGGAGCAGCACAATGAGGCCAGCAACAAACAGCTGAATGATGATGAGGAGGCAGACCCCCGCACCCAGGTCCGAGGGGTCTCCATACATGCCTGTCATCACATACAGGATGGCCTGGCCTACAGTGATCATCATGCCAAACAACTTCTGCGCCCCATTGAACAGGGCTCTGTCTTTTGGGGTATCTCCAACCTGTCACAGGAAAATGTTCTTAATAAAAATAAAACTATGCACCAAACTCTGTAAACCAATGATAATATATCAAAATATCCAACTGATGTGGCATTCTTGCATCATCTGGCTCGCTTCTTATGAGCAGGAGAGCATCTGACATCTTGAAGCAGAGATGCCAAGCAAATAACTTAATCCACAAGTCTCCTGACTTTTGACTCAAGGGGGTTGTGCAATGCATTACAAACCACACAAAACCAGGAATAGCATAACTAGTGTTTTTTCTTTCTTTTTTTCCATCTGGAAAAAAATTAAAATTTCATCCTCATTCCAAAGGGAGCAGTGATCCTAAGAGTTCTATTAAAGGAATAAATCAATTCTTAAAAAATGTATATATATAGATAAAAATATAAAACTCCTTACAACCATACATAAATCCACCTTCTAAATTCGGAAAAAGGCTTTCTTCCTTGACCATTCTGCTGGTGCAAATCCAGCACCTAGTCTACTGGAATGGTTATGGTGGTCACAAGTTGGAGTTCATTACTTTGGTTTGGAAAAATGAAAACCTGGAAAGCTATAGAGCCCATTCCTTTATAATCCCATGAATAAAAACAGCAATGAGGATAGACAGCCATAAGCCAAATGAAGTCTTCAAACCATTCTCATGATGCTAGCCTACAAATACTTTAAATTGATGCTACTTTGCTGCAAAAATTTCAAAGGTAAAACGACTAAACATCATGATCCTCAAATCTCAAATAGGGTGCATCACTGACAAAGCGTGATGAATGGGCAATGTACATTACAGAGGCACACACAAACACAGTAATACCTGGATGCCTGCCATAAATCCCTCATCCTTAGAGTGTTTTCAACTGGGACTATTCATCAGATGAGCTTAGGCATACCAAGTTTTTCTATTGTCTCTTTCTAAAACCAGTATAGAAGACTGAGGTGAAATGGAATGCACCTCATAACTGCTTTTTCTTTAGTGTGTGTGCAATTAAACACAATGAAAAGCACTTGTGTGACTTTAGAGGCAAATCAGAATACTACAGAGGAGAGAGCTCACCAACAGGAGCGAGTAAAGATTTTGGCTTCTTTACTCCACTGCATTAAGACTGGAATGGTCTTCTGGTTGAGAAAGAAATGTTGGAAAAATTATTTGCTTTAGAGGATGCCTGCTTTTTTACAGACATGTTTTTCCTATAATATTTATATTACCATTATCACTGCTCTTGCTATGACTATTATTAATACTGTTAATATTCTTAGCAATGTCCTGATTATCATTACTTCCCTATAATATTTTTTTTTAATGTTCAACCTTATTGTTATAATTATCATTAACATCATTACTATCATCCTTATCACCACTGCCAATAATGATAAAAATGGCATAATGATCATGATAATGATTACATATCAACATCATTATCATTATTCTTGTATGTCTTATCCAAACTTTAGCAGTTAAAGTCAATGCAGGAAGTTCTGTACATAAAATTTGATCATCTGAATACAGAGGTTTTCCTGTAAAAATAAGAAAGCCTAAAAGATCTTAGGAATTCCCCAGAGCAAAGCTCCTCACTGGACCTCAGACCCAATGAACCTGCACACATTAGAGCAAGAGAAAGGGCCTCCAATCACCTCAATGATCTTCGCCCCTGCTAGGAGCTGCATGATGAGACTGGACGTGACGATGGGCGAGATGCCCAGCTCCATGAGTGTGCCTCGGTTGCTGGCGAGGATTACACGGATCCAATAGAAGGGGTCCGCAGAGTCTGAGCTCATGATGCCGAAGAGGGGAATCTGTGAGGGGGAAGACAACGCTTGAGATCCTCTGCCCTGTCAATTGATGGCGAAATGCATCTGCATTTGCCTTCTATTTCTCTAAAGATTAATAATCAAGGAATGAAAACTTGCAGATTATTCTATCTACATCACAATAACTAAAACCTTTGTTTTATCTACATGCATATTACAAATCATTAAGAAACAGTCAACCCTCTTTACAGGTGGAATGACAAGTACCTATGACCAGAAGATTCTAGATTCCACATCATTTACGGTTCTTTTTTGCATGATAAATAAAAATAATTTCTCACTTTACAAATGAAGAATTTATTTTACATTGATTTTTTTTTTTTTTTTTTTTTTTTTTTGCAATAACTACAAGTGAAAAGTAGTAAAACTGACTAAATTCTGATATGCAAAGAGAAAACCTTATTTATCAATTTATAAATCCAGGTTACAAGCTCTAGCAGTTAACTTGAACTACCAAGGAATAAGCATTAAATACTAAACTTTAAATTTCCAAAATTAAGCTGTCTCTACCTGGCAACAGACGAGGAAAATGAAGAGAGTGATGGCCGTCCATAACACCTTCTCTCTGAACTGGATCCTCCGTTCCGGCTTCTGGATTTCGGGTAAAACCGCACAGAACGGTTTTATCACCTCTAGAAACTTGACTGCAAGGAGGCAGAGGAATAAAAGGTTAGAATTTGTCTATTCACAGTCAATGTTTTATTTCCTACTAATAATTTCCTTTAATGGAAATGATTCCCATCCCTGCAACCCCTAAAGGCACTGCAGAGGGTGAGCAGGGGATCACATGGTCTTGGGGGATACATAGGCCAATACGCTAGTCATCTGTAAGTGTTCATATTAACCCATTAATGCTGGTATGTTTTGAAGCCGAAAATAAAAGATTCTGGGCGGCTACAAAATTGGCTGGCGGAGCTGCCCCGGACTGTCCGCCCGCAAGCCCCGATACATTGTCACACTGGCAGGACATTTGTAAACGAGAGTAGAATTACCCATATGAATATGAACTCCCACAACAAAAAATTTAGGCAGCACGCAAGGCCAGAAACCCGTCTCATTGCCGCTGTGTCAGCGATTTTCGCCCTTCCACACTTTCACTTTACAGGAGTGAATATTATACATTGTATGATGACATTCCCCATTGAACTGGATCACAGGAGGGTAAAAGTGTCGTATTATAACAGTTTTTCAAATTTCTTTCCCATAAAATAAAGTAGATATGATTTGATTTTGACAAATTCATCATAAAAGTATGTTTAGGGTTTGATGATAATACATGAACAGTTACAAGTCTGTATCTATAAAAATAAACTCGCAATGAATAGATATTTACATGGGCTGGGCACCCACCGATATCAACAGCTGTTTCGAAGGGACCCAGCCGACAGAGCTAGAAGCATCGCCACCCCTCTAGACTTTTCTGATTGCAATAATTTTACGTGTGCGCTCTCATTTGAAACTAAACAATTGATTAAACATTCTGTCATTATAAATCCATTTTACGAAAAAAAAAAAAATGTTAAGAAAGAGTACAATAATTCATCTTGTCTTACATTACAAGATGCAGCATCCACAATAAACCAATATAAACAATTTGTATTTCAAAATATTTTTGATATATCAACATTTTCTGGACGGTTATTTCTAACAAAAACAAAACATTTCATTGTCCCTCCATAACAAGTACTCCGCTCATGACTAAACGTTCAGCATCTTTTTCAAGGCGGAATCACGTGGTTAAAGGATGAGGAACAGTAGACTGCAATAAAAAGAAAAAATAAATAAATAAAATAAATATGGATCTAATGGGTATATGTTCATATACGCATATCCACGTGCAAGACAATGTACCTTTACAATAATCTATATGCATATACACATGTAAACGAATGTATACACAAGAAAGCGACAAAACCAATTTTATATAACGATCTTATTGTCTTGGGTCTGGATTTGCCCCTTTTCACTGGGGTCCTTTGTTTCTATAACTCAGAAACTAATGATCATATCTTTACCTAACAAAGTGCTTTTGAAAGAGAAATAATAGTAGTTTCTACGGTAATAAAATGGTAAAGAACTATAAATGAAAAGATATAAAAAATGAACTTCAAATATCCAACTTTTTGTATACTTTTTCTATTTCTTTTATTTCGAGCTGTGAACATTTCCTTATCCCCCAGAGTTTTTATCCAATTAAAATTTTATGTACAGTGAACCCTCGTTTTTCACGGGGTTATGTTCCAAAAAGAACCCGTGATAGGCGAAATCCGTGAAGTAGTAACCTTTATTTTTTTTTACTATTATACACTGAAATATTCTACAATACACTGAAACCAAAGAACAAAACCTTTTTATAGGCCCAAGCATTTGTTTAACAAATAAAAGTACTGTATAAATGTTTTTTACAAATAACTACTGTACTGTAAAATAATAATTTTAATCATCAATACAAACTGAAGGCTTCATGGGTTTTAGAGAAAATTTGCAAACAAATATAGCAAACTGTTTTACGTACATGTACATATCAAACTGTAACGTTATTAACACACAGGTAGAGAAGAAGCGGAGAGACTGTTTAGCCAATCAGTATGCAGAACACAATGAACAATGCAAATTCGTGAAGCAGCGAGAATGTGAAACGTGAACCGCGTTATAGCGAGGGTTCACTGTATACCTTTGGACACCTTGTGAAAATGCTTAGACAACATCGAAGCGGATTTCTGAAATTTTGCTTACTTTTTTATACGACTTTTTGAAAATCAAAAAAGATGTGAAAATGATTTTCTTACTGAATTTTTTTTTTTTTCTGAGGAAACTAAATTTCAAAAAATGGCTACAATGTTGTCTTAGGAATTCATTGAGCTTCATTCATATTTTTTTCCATGACATAACTCATAATCCTCTGGGACATGGAATTGCTTGCACAGACATGTGAGAAAAAAAATAAATAAATAAAAATAAAAATAATGGACTAAAGGTTTTTCTCTCTACGCCCTGAATAGGACTATGTAGTAAGGTAAACCATATATGAAACAGGTGATGCCAAGATGTCAGATGTGTCTGAGGATACAGAACCGAATCAACAGCAGAAAAAGTTTGGAAAACACTGTCCTTTAGTAACCCATGTGAACATCTGACAAACCTACATAAATCCAGATTCTTAAGGGAAGATCAGTGCTGGAATTTGGAAAAGTAGGAACAAAAGTTGTCATTCCATCTCTGAGACAAGACCTGCTACTTAAAAGAGGAAATGCACATAATGTGGATTCTTCAGCTATTACTAAACCTATGTATTTTAAGAGGAGATGCACAAGAAAAGATCACACTTTCTTATGTTGTCGAAAACTATTTCCATTTTAAAAAATTATAAATAAACATGTATTTACTTAAGGTCAGCTAACAGTCATTACAGATGGATTGTGATAGCTTCAGTGTATATGACTGCACTAGAAAAAAGTTCAAGTATATTTGGTACAAGTTTACGAGACCACGGCCAATAGAGACCACCTAGCAACTCAGCAAGTGAAAATCCCATCCAAAGCATACGAACTACCACAAAGATCACCGCATGAACCAAAAACCTTCCTACCCTTCCCCAAATGCCCCTTCACATTGCCACATTACTCTAGCCAGGGGGCTCTGCTCCAAGACTACCTTCCAATCACTGTTTCTTCGGAGCCAATGCAGTCCTTTTGTATACATTAACCCATTTGGCTCTGGGTTTATGCAACATACACTGCAGTTTTTTGTGAATATTGTTGTGCATAGATGGCTCTACAAGTGCTCAGCCACCAGGGTTTCATTAGTGGGCCCAAGTGATCATGCATGCTTTAACCATTCCTTGAATCTGGGATTTTTTTTATAATGCTTTTGATATTGATACTCTTATTTCTATCACTAGCAATATCATTATGAAATCATTTAAATACTAATAACAAAATGTAATTGGATTTTAAAATTAAGGATAAGGGTAAACAGGAGACTGGTAGGACTAATAACTACCTCCTTAGTAACTGAGCATTTGAACAGCCATCTCTAGCATGGTTAATCTTTACAGTATGGCTGCATTAAGTTTGGGCAAATTTAATAGGATATTCTTGTAGAGGGCTAAAAGTTGCAGTCATCAGTACAAGAAGTAATCTGCAGACGTGGACGGTAATGCTGTGTCCCCCAACTACACATCACAAAATTTATTCTACCAGCAAAGCTGACATGACTGGGCATGCCCGACTGCCTGAGGGGAAGGTTGATGGAGGGACTGCCACCCAATACCTCAGTCTACACTACAAGATACAGCTGTAACTCAGGGGCAACAAGTGGACTTCAGCTGAGAGCGACGCTTTCCATGATCTTTTTCCTTTATTTGTGGCATTATCATTCATACCTGCATGTTATTTCTTATACTGGCAACTTTTCATCCTCTACATGAATATCTTCTTCAGTTTAACCTAGCTTAGTGCATCCATACATTAAAGATTAACCCTAAGAATACTGTGACCTGCAGAAAAATTGGCCACAGTAGGATGTTTAAATTCTCATTATGAGCACACTGAGCACTCATTCTTTTTCACTTCCAAGCAGTTGACTGATCTATAAAATGAGACATCAACTATTAATATATTTCATGTGTTTATCTCCTACACTTTAACCAGTTAATCTTAAGGTATGGATGCACTAAGGTAGGACCAATTGAAGATCATGGTCTTGTTGAGGACTACAAATTATCATCTGTCTAAAAAAATAATCTGCAGACATTAACGGTTACAAGTAAGGGAAAAAACTCTCAAAGTACAGCTTACAGCCTAGTTCCACCTGGCGCATTCTAGACTCGGCTATCTTGCCGTGCATACCAGGGTGAAGACAATGAATGTTGGGAGGTGAAATTCCATCAACCCAAGTCATGGCAACAGAATTGTTGAATGAATGTTAAGACAAGGAGTTGGAGACAGTCTCTGGTGAGTGCTTCTGTACTGTAAAGAATTGTTCTATAACCATATGTTCTTGCAAGAAAGAGCTTGTTTAACCTCCTTCCTGTTGTCAAAGGAGGAAAAAGTCCAAACTCTGTCTTGTCTGAAGATACAGAGCAAAGGTTAGCCTTTGCCGATACAACAATGGCAGAGAGGTTGGTGGTCGTGGGACGTTGTTCTAAGGAGATAACATCCATGGTCCAAGATGGAGCAATGTTACAAGCTCAAAATGACTCAAAATGTTATATTTTTCTCAATGAAACATTCCATTCCACCCAGATTCACCAGAAACCAGTGTGTGATCTGCAGGGGCAGCCCACCCCACACCCCCAAGTGCAGCCCAAGAGGGGCACTGTGCCAGGCAGTCTCCCATGAGGATCCCAAGAACAATGCAAACAATTTGGTGCAGAAATATACTCCAACTGCTGGCCTACTGGGCAGCACCGACTGCCAGCGAGAACAGCTGATCAGAGCTGAACAAGTGCGATGGGAGAACAGCTGTTCCTGTTCACCTTTTGGGGAGGCTTGGATCCTAGTCAGAACGGGGAAAATAAATGTAAAAGCCGTGGCAGCGACCCTGTGCTCTTTGGCTCCACCTTTGGCACAAAGGACACCGAATTCCCTCAACATGGAGGGAAAACAAGCGGTAAAAATAAACTACAAGGTTAAATGAACACGGGTTTCCACTCCCGTCAGGAACTCCCACTTTCTCTCGACCTTTGGGCCAGAATCAACCTTATTTCGGGCCGTTTCTTGTTCCAGTTTCTAATCCTCGGCGAATTTGAGTGTCTACGAAGTCTCCCCAGGGGATATCATGATCTGAGAAGCGTTTTCACTTCCTAAAGCGGGCGCCCTGACCTAACGGGACCTGGCCGGCGTGACAGGTCCTTCCCCCTGAACCAGGCCTTCCGCGACACCAAACCTGCAGAAATCAGCCTTAATTTCCCTACATTCAGCAAACCCAACCAACTCTCCCATTAATAAAAACAAGAAAGCACATGGACTCACTCCCCATGGCGGCGACGTTGGAGGGTGAAGGAGAGACTGACGCGCCGTAAGTGTGCTCGCTGCCCCGCTCGGCCGACGACTGCGCCCGACGTGGCCGCGGCGGCGGTGACGTCCCTCCCGCAGGACGTCCCGCTTCGCCCCATCAGGCTCCCTCAGCTGCTCCTGGGCTCAAGGACACAGATTTTGGATTTACTGGGACAGATTTTAATCATGCTTATCAGGTTAGGGTGCAAGGGAGAGATGTGGAAGATGTTGTAGAGAGATTGTGTGTTCTGAAGACAGGAAAGAGAAGAGTTTGGGAGCGTACGGCGAACACAACGCCATCTTGTAGCTGAAAACAAAGTTTTTTTCCGGGAGACTAAAATATTATTAAACAGGGAGAGGAGGGAGAGTCAGACAAACACACAGATTGACTGACATACAGAATAAAAGAGACAGACAGAGGATAAGAAAGGCAGACGAGAAAGAGAGAGGAGAGAGAAAAGCAGGGGAAGAGAGAAGAATTAGAAAATAGGTAGGAGTAGGAGAGAGACAGGGGTGAGAGAAAGTGAGTATGATAGTATATATGTTTGTATATGAAATAACTAGCAAGTTAATATGTAAAGACCATAAATTTGGATGCATAACCTCTCTAGATGCAACACCGACTGTGTTGTACAGGAGCCTATCCAAACTGTTGCAGCAAACTAATTGTTATTCAAAACTTGCATATCAATTTACCTAATTACCTGTACTTATATAAACTATCCTTGTATTCACACCCTATATCTATTTATCTCTCTATATATTCAATATACAACCATCATCCAGCAGAGTTTAGCAGAGTTTAGAAAGGCTAGTTATCATTAAAAGAAACATTATCAACAACGCCACAAAGTCGCGGCGGGAAAGCAGCGAGGTCAGTGGTCTTGGGAGCATGGCCCGCTCTGGCATTCCCAAACACTCATGGCCCGCTCTGGCATTCCCAAACACTCATGGCCCGCTCTGGCATTCCCAAACACTCATGGGCCCGCTCTGGCATTTCATGGCCCGCTCTGGCATTCTCATGGCCCGCTCTGCATTCCAAACACTCATGGCATTCACAAACACTCATGGCCCGCTCTGGCATTCCCAAACACTCATGGCCCGCTCTGGCATTCTCATGGCCGCTCTGGCATTCCAAAACACTCATGGCCCGCTCTGGCATTCCAAACACTCATGGCCCGCTCTGGCATTTCCAAATCATGCCCGCTCTGGCACCAAACACTCATGGCCCGCTCTGGCATTCACAAACACTCATTGGCGGCATTCTCATGGCCGCTCTGGCATTCCCAAACACTCATGGCCCGCTCTGGCATTCCCAAACACTCATTGGCCCGCTCTGGCATTCCCAAACACTCATGGCCCGCTCTGGCATTCCCAAACACTCATGGCCCGCTCTGGCATTCAAACAACTCATGGCCGCTTCTGGCATTCCAAACACTCATGGCCGCTCTGGCATTCCAAAAACACTCATGGCCCGCTCTGGCATTCCAAACACTCATGGCCCGCTCTGGCATTCCCAACACTCATGGCCCGCTCTGGCATTCCCAAACACTCATGGCCCGCTCTGGCATTCCCAAACACTCATGGCCCGCTCTGGCATTCACAAACACTCATGGCCGCTCTGGCATTCCAAACACTCATGGCCCCGCTCTGGCATTCCCAAACACTCAATGGCCCGCTCTGCATTCAAACAATGGCCCGCTCTGGCATTCACAAACACTCATGGCCCGCTCTGGCATTCCAAACACTCATGGCCCGCTCTGCATTCCCAAACACTCATGGCCCGCTCTGGCATTCACAACACTCATGGCCCGCTCTGGCATTCCCAAACACTCATGGCCCGCTCTGGCATTCCCAAACACTCATGGCCCTCTGGCATTTCCCAACACTCATGGCCCGCTCTGGCATTCCAAACACTCATGGCCCGCTCTGGCTTCCCAAACACTCATGGCCCGCTCTGGCATTCCCAAACACTCATGGCCCGCTCTGGCATTCCCAAACACTCATGGCCGCTCTGGCATTCCCAAACACTCATGGCCCCTCTGGCATTCCCAAAACACTCATGCCCGCTTCTGGCATTCACAAACACGCATGGCCCGCTCTGGCATTCCGGCTCTGGCATTCCCAACATCATGGCCCGCTCTGGCATTCCCACATTCCCAAACACTCATGCCCGCTCTGGCATTCCCAAACACTCATGGCCCGCTCTGGCATTCCCAAACACTCATGGCCCGCTCTGCAATTCACAAACACTCATGGCCCGCTCTGGCATTCACAAACACTCATGGCCCGCTCTGGCATTCAAACACTCATGGCCCCGCTCTGGCATTCCAAACACTCATGGCCCGCCTCTGGCATTCACAAACACTCATGGCCCGCTCTGGCCCCCAAACACTCATGCGCCCGCTCTGGCATTCCAAACACTCATGGCCCGCTCTGGCATCCCAACACTCATGGCCAAAAACACTCATGGCCGCTCTGGCATTCCCAAACACTCATGGCCCGCTCTGGCATTCACAAACACTCATGGCCCGCTCTGGCATTCCCAAACACTCATGGCCCGCTCTGGCATTCCCAACACCTCATGGCCCGCTCGTGGCATTCACAAACACTCATGGCCCCGCTCTGGCATTCACAAACACTCATGGGCCACGCTCTGCATTCCCAAACCACTCATGGCCCGCTCTGGCATTCACAAACACTCATGGCCCGCTCTGGCATTCCCAAGCAACTCATGGCCCGCTCTGGCATTCCCAAACACTCATGGCCCGCCTCTGGCATTCCCAAAAACACTCATGGCCCGCTCTGGCATTCCCACTTCATGGCCCGCTCTTGGCATTCACAAACACTCATGGCCCGCCTGGCATTTCCCAAACACTCATGCCCGCTCTGGCATTCCCAAAACACTCATGGCCCGCTCTGGCATTCACAACATCATGCCCGCTCTGGCATTCACAAACACTCATGGCCCGCTCTGCATTCACAAAACACTCATGGCCCGCTCTGGCGCTCTGGCATTCCCAAACACTCATGGCCCGCCTCTGCATTCACAAACACTCATGGCCCGCTCTGGCATTCCCAAACACTCATTGGCCCGCTCTGCATTCACCAAACACTCATGGCCCCGCTCTGGCATTCCCAAACACTTCATGGCCCGCATTCGGCATTCCCAAACACTCATGCCCGCTCTGGCATTCCCAAACACTCATGGCCCGCTCTGGCATTCCCAAACACTCATGGCCCGCTCTGGCATTCCCAAACACTCATGGCCGCTCTGGCATTCACCAAACACTCATGGCCCCCTCGGCATTCCCAAACACTCATGGCCCCGCTCTGGCATTCACAAACACTCATGGCCCGCTCTGCATTCACAAACACTCATGGCCCGCTCTGGCATTCCCAAACACTCATGCCGCCTGCGGCCCGCTCTGCATAATCACAAACACTCATGGCCGCTTGGCATTCCCAAACACTCATGGCCCGCTCTGGCATTCCAAACACCATGGCCCCGCCTCGGCATTCACAAACACTCATGCCCGCTTGGCATTCCCAAACAACTCAGGCCCGCTCTGGGCGCTCATGCCCCCGCTCTTGGCTTCCCAAACACTCATGGCCCGCTCTGGCATTCCCAAAACACTCATGGCCCGCTCTGGGGCATTCCCAAAACAATGGCCGCTCTGGCATTCACAACACTCATGGCCCGCTCTGGCATTCACAAACACTCATGGCCCGCTCGGCACAACAAACACTCATGGCCCGCTTGGCATTCCCAAACACTCATGGCCGCTCTGGCATTCCCAAAGCACTCATGGCCCGCTCTTGGCATCACAAAACATCATGGCCCGCTCTTGGCATCCCAAACACTCAGGCCGTCTGCATCCCAAAACACTCATGGCCCGCTCTTGGCATTCACAAACACTCATGGCCCGCTCTGGCATTCCCAAACACTCATGGCCCGCTCGGCATTCCCAAACACTCATGGCCCGCTCTGGCATTCCCAAACACTGTCATGGCCCGCTCTGCATTCACAAACACTCATGGCCCGCTCTGGCATGGGCTCTGGCATTCCCAAAACACACTCATGGCCCGCTCTGGCATTCACAAACACCTCATGGCCCGCTCTGGCATTCCAAACACTCATGGCCCGCTCTCATGGCCCGCTCTGGCATTTCCCAAACACTCATGGCCCGCTCTGGCATTCCCAAACACTCATGGCCCGCTCTGGCATCACAAACACTCATTGGCCCGCTCTGGCATTCCCAAAACATCATGGCCCGCTCTGCATTTCCCAAACACTCATGGCCCGCTCTGCATTCCCAAACACTCATGGCCCCGCTCTCTTATTCCCAAAACATCATTCTGGCATTCACAAACACTCATGGCCCGCTCTGCATCCAAACACTCATGGCATCTGGCATTCCAAACACTCATGGCCCGCTCTGGGCATTCACAAACACTCATGCCCGCTCTGATTCACAAACACTCATGGCCGCTCTGCATTCACCAAACACTTCATGGCCCGCTCTGGCATTCACAAACACTCATGGCCCGCTCTGGCATTCCCCAAACACTCATGGCCCGCTCTGGCATTCCCAAACACTCATCCCGATGGCCCGCTGGCATTCCCAAACACTCATGGCCCGCTCTGGCATTCCCAAAACACTCATATTTCCCAAACACTCATGGCCCGCTCTGCATTCCCAAACACTCATGGCCCGCTCTGGACATTCCACAAACACTCATGGCCCGCCTGCATTCACAAACACTCATGGCCCGCTCTGGCATTCCCCAAACACTCATGGCCCGCTCTGGCATTCCCAAACACTCATGGGCCCGCTCTGGATTCAAAACACTCATGGCCCGCTCTGGCATTCACAAACACTCATGGCCCGCTCTTGGCATTCACAAACACTCATGCCGCTCTTGCATTCCCAAACACTCATGGCCCGCTCTGCATTCCCAAACACTCATTGGCCCGCTCTGGCATTCACAAACACTCATGGCCCGCTCTTGGCATTCCCAAACACTCATGGCCCGCTCTGGCATTCCCAAACACTCATGGCCCGCTCATGGGCCGCTCTGGCATTCCCAAACACTCATGGCCCGCTCTGCATTCCCCACTCATGCC